GTCAGCAGATGGAGCAAAAACAAACACACTGATGTCTGCCGTGTGTTTCTGATTAACATCGTATTTAAAGGAAGGTTTGTTGCTCTATGTTTACTTACATCAAACCTGTGGAAACACTATGGCTGCATAATTGTAACATTTTTATTAAAGAGTCCCGCCCACTCTGTGTCAACAGTCTAGCTCCGCCCCTGTGTTGGACCCTCTGAAGAAATGGTAAACGGCCTGTATTTGTATAGCGCTTTACACTACACTCAGTCATCAGTTACCATGGCATGGTCATCTGAGCGAAGGCCACGCGGCTCTTCTGTCCTCCTGATAGGCTGGCCACCGGCCTCGTGGCCAGCTCTCCCGTGATACCGTAACCTCCCAGCTGGTGGCGGTACTCCTCCTCGGTCCGACCTGCGATGCAAACGCAGCAGCCCATCAGAGCGCGACGTGGAGCTGCCAATGGCATTGTTGATGGCGCTGTTGCTATAGTTACCGGGGAACTTGTTGAGGAGCAGCTCCACAGAGCAGACGTTCAGGTCCAGCTGGTCCACGTGGTGCTGACTGAAGTAACCGATCTTCAGGTTCCTGAGGCGAAAAGATGAGCAGCAGCCATGTTTAGATTAGCGAGCGCGTCGCGATTATCAGCACTCGCTGACAATCGCTCCGAGCACGAGCAGATCCCACAAACAGCGCATGAACAATGGAGAGTACTCGGAAACAAAGAATGAAACAGGTGCAAAGGCTGGAACACATCACAGGTAGAAACAGGAAGAGGAGGAGCCAAGAGGGAGAACATGTTAAAGCTTCCTAAAAACAGCGCAGGCAGTCCCTTAAAGAGCGAGAGGAGAGGAAGAAAGCTTCCTGGACAGTGCACCAATAAGATGCAACCAACAGACTCCTCTGCTCTGATTGGTCCACTGGTCGTCTTACCTGTGAGCCTGCCTGACTCCGTTGACCGGTGTCAACTCGCCCATCAGCAACTTGAGGACGGTGGTTTTACCAGCACCGTTTTCACCGACCTGCCGAGAAACACAACAGCCCAAACAGCGAGCTGATTAATGACTGCACTTCCTGTTGTACCTCTCACTCTGCAGAGGCGCCCAGTGCTCACTTCCTGTCTGAGTACTGATATCTGTGCATGCCTCTTTGAGAACTCATCTTAGTCAATAATTAGTTTGTAATTGCTGCATCACACCACCAGGTGGAGCCACCTATCGTGTCCAGGAGACGCTCGCCAACGTGTCTGACGGTACAGTGCAGGCCTGACGCTCTGCGGCCTGTCAGTCCATCCCTGAGCTAACAAGCTAACCTGGAGCCACCCGCACAGCGCCCTCTGCTGACTCATTGCCGTCAGCTGTAAAGCACTATACGCTGACCGTGGCGACACCGTGAGGTCACCATGGTGATAAGACCGTGAGGTCACGACACAGTGCTGTCACACATACGATGCAGATCCGAGAGTCGAGGTCAGCTGACAGGTTGAGTCCGGAGAACAGCGGCTGGTCTTTGCTGTAGTAAAACTCGACTTCATCCAGCTGCAGGATGGGCGGAGACAACTTCTCAAAGTTATCTGGAAACCTGAAGCGACACACAGCATGTCAGCCAGTCCAAGCTTCACTGCCACAGTGATCGTCGGGGGTCAGAGGTCATCTTCTTACCTGAGCGTGACCTCAATTTCCTTCTCGATGGGCTTTAGCTCAGGTCTGCAGGAGAAAGCAAGCATTAGCTTACAGACAGGCAGCACAGACACCAGATCAAGGCGAGGAGGGCGAGGAGCACTCACAGCTTCTCCAGGAGTTTGAGTTTACTCTGCACCTGAGCTGCTCGGTTAGCGTTGTACCGAAATCTGTCGATGAAAACCTGAAAGACA